CACACACACACACACACACACACACACACACACACACACACACACACACACACACACACACAGTTTGTGTTGTCACCCTGCAGAGGTCAGTCACTCCTCTGATGACAGAAAACCTCTGTAAATCATTCTGATGTTTTTCAGTTTTGGATCCATTTTAAGTAAAATTCAGTGACTGAGGGAAAGTCAGGCTTCTAGGAAATAACGTTAAGAAATGTCTTTCTAAGTATATATATATWTTTTTTTCTTGTGCGTGAATGTGTGTGTCTGAGCATCTCCATGCTGTATCATCCACTTTCTACTACAGCCTCTCTGTACATTTGACATTTGACAGGAGAGGAAGGAGAAGGAGAAGATGTCACCGTCTCACTGTGAATCATTTAATTGTTTGGACCAGTTGGTCACCTCTGCTTGTGTCCTCTCTCTATTAGTCATCAGTGATATGTGTGTATTGGGGGGATTGTCTGAGAGCTTCCCTGTCTAGATCCTTCTTTTACTTTCAAACATTGTTTTAGTTTCATCACTGTAAAGCCAAAGTGATGTGTGTTAATAGTAAATGGCCATCTCAGTCGTGGAGTAGTTCCTGAAAAACATTTTTTTTTTATTGCTGTACAAAGAAATCTCCTTTGTGCGTATTATTGCTGTAAAGAAGTTGTTCTGTCAATGAGTTTTTTTTTTCCAAATGTAATTTATTTTGAAATTTCGGCATGGCAAACAGGTGAAAATTGAAGTTAATTTCATTTTAAATGTGAAAGTTCGTTTAAACAACTTCTGTGTTGCAGATATTTGTATTTTGTGCAGCCAAGCATTGTTTAAACCACATGCGTTATTATTGGCTATTTCAAATTTAGATTGAGAGCCAAAATATTTTTTGAGCTTTAAATAAAAGGAATTTCGTCTTTAACATATAAAAAACGAGACATTTAAATCCTTATGAAATCATTCAAGCGTTCAGGGCAGACAGTAAACACAGTATGCTGGATTAACTGTGAATAGTTCCTTTTGTTCAGTTTGTTTTTACCTGACATGCATCAGGTGTTTCTAGTTATTTTTAAACACTTCTGAAGGTGAAACCTGTGAGGTATTGACATATAACTTCAAATATGTTGTATATTTCAGCATTAAAGCTATAAATATTAAAACAAAACTCTAATTTGACTTGTTTTTATACAGTAAATGTACTAGTTTTGAACTTTTTGAAACTAATATAAAATAAGTCACTTTAATAATTGCACTGAGACAAATGAAAATGAAATTCAGTAAAAAAAAGTTTTATTAAAAAAACACTTTACATAAGAATGATAGTAAAACCTATCTGTACACTAACACTTTATTGCGTGAAAATCTTGTGCAATTTCTGACAATTTCTATAAAAAATAAGTTTGTTTTCTGTAGAAAATAGAACAATATGTGGAAAAATATTCATTTCTTGAGTTTTCTTTTTCTACACAGAGTTGCAAATATGTAAAAAAAAACTGATCTAGTTTGAGAACTGACTACATATTTCTGTCAAACTGATATCTGAACTGACTGGAATAGGATCTTCTTGGAGGAGAAAATAAACAAGTCCTTTCCCTTTGTCTTGACACAAAAATATACACAACTGCTGCAGAAAAAAATCTTAAAGAGTTTCAATTTGAGCATCCAAATAAAAGTCCTACTGAAATAAAATAGGTATATTCTTATCTTTTTACTATTTGTTGTTTTCCTTTCTCAGTGTACATGAGAGGAACCTAGAATGTCCCTGATGTGTTGGGCTGCTGAAGGACTGCGGTCCGATCACACAGTGATGGGCATGTTGTCCCTGTAGCAGGCTGATCTCTGGGGAACACTGTAGCTGCACAAGTCCTGGTAGATCCGAGCCATCTGCTCCGTGGCCATGTCGTCACACAGCTCTGTGTTTGGGTTGTTGTTGTACGGCTGAGAGCGACGCATGTTCGCCGTTTCCAGCATGTGTTGGCAGTTCACCATGGTGATCTGTTATTTACAGAGGAGACAGAAGGGTGTATTTTTAAATCTGTATRGAAATAAACTTGCTCAGCTGTCAGATTCTTCGGAAGGGACCGGTCTTACCTGCACAATGATCAGTTTGTTCTTAGCACTGGCGAGATCATTGAGCTCCTCTCCAAAACACAGAGTCACTGTTGGGTCAGGGGCCGGAATCTGACACTCCTGGTACAGCTGCAAAGCTGGGATTTTCAAAACACAAGAGACTTAACTTAACCACTGCTTTTTGATTTGCCAAACTTTGAGAACACACCAATCATATCTCAGCCTCACCTTGACAAAACCTTCCGGTGTCAAATATCTTGACCACGGCGTCCCTCTCGAGTTTACCGGGCGTGGAGTTGTACTGTGAGCTCAGGTCGCTGAGGCCGCTCCAGAACACGCGACTCTGGCACAGCCKCTTGATGAAGATGCCCTCCTGGTTCGCGCGCACCAACACGCCCCGATCCAGGTGGCCCAGCAGCTTGCGCGTGACGTAACGCTGCCGATCGTACTCGATGTGCTCGGCGGGGGGGAAGTGAACGCTCTGCATGCTGTCCGAATGATAGAGGGCGCTGCGGCCCAGGTGCTGCTGCGGGGAAATCCTGCAGCCCTCAGGGTGGGTCACCACGGTGCTCTGCATCAGCTTWCCTCCGTAGTAAAAAGTGATCATCATCTGCGAGAAAGCTAGAGAAGASAACACCTGGTGAGACTTTAAAAGTCAGATGGTAAACTAGTGTTTAAAGGGAAACTGTTCTCATGGTGCYTTTACCTGAACTGGAGGTCCCCGATGGCATGGGGTCCTGATGCAGTGGGAAAGCTGTAGATGACAAAAGAGGTTGGTTTGTACACTGTCTGAAAGTCATGACATTGTTTTGCTGCATCATCAGAAAGAGCGTTTCTCTAGCACGATTTACAAAGAAATAATCACTTAAGTCAGCAAAGTTAAACAGGATATTAGTCAATTGTTCCATTGCAGAATTTAACAGACAAGCAAATAACCTTTATTATCACCCACAACAGCAGACACAAGTGGTTAAAGGGTTTTCAGAAAGAAAAAAAAACTTATAGGAAGGTTGAGAAGACAGAGACCTACGCCGACTGCAGCACTGAGTCAAGTGCAACGTTTAAATAAACCTAAAGAGAAACTGCTTTAAAAGTGTGTTTTTACCATTGATGCTACCCTGGGACCAAGACTCTGGACTCGTTTGAATRCTGCAGCTCTCTTCCTGCAAAACAACAACATTGTAATGAGATACAGCTGTGACACAGAGCAACAACTGGAGGTGACAATACTGACTGTAAGAAAAGTGACACAAGTGCTGAGAGGTGATAAAAAAACAAAGAGTGTGGAAACGTTTACTGTGAGAAGCTGTCTCACCTCTTTCATAAACTCCTCAATTTCTGCAGGGCTGCAGTCCATGTCTCTTAAATCGTTAGAGCTGGTGGCAGCAGTCATGGGCATCACTGGACTTCTCCCATCTGGAGGAGAAAGAAACCCTTTTTGTGGTTCTGTTCATCTTTTTTACACCAACACATCGAGGCACGGCATTAAAAAAAAAACCATAGGAACTCACGCTTCTGCTCCTCTTCGGGTACAATGCGGTACACTTTGTATGGCTCGGAGATGTCCAGCTGTGACCTTTCAGTCACTTCCTCAAAGTCGGGACTTTTATTGAGCGCACAGCGGAGTCTGGTCTTCCAGGTTGCAGGCTCTGCCTTGTCCCCCTCCTTAAACTTGCCCTTAAACACAGCCCAGGCCTGTGGAGCCAGGGTTCAAAGGTCAGACAAAAGGTAAGGTGCTGAGCTTACTTAGAACGAAAGAAAGAAAACAGGACAGAAAATGATTCTTCTTGACTAAATCACAATTGTTTTTGATGGTTTAATGTATAGGTTTTATTTGACAAACAGAAAATATCAACAGCACATATAATCCTGCAAAAAGGGTTCAAAAACTAAATAGACCTCCCAGTTTTAGCTTAATAAAAGTCCAGTTATTCATTCATTCATTCATTCATTCATTCATTCATTCATTCATTCATTCATTCATTCATTCATTCATTCATTCATTCATTCATTCATTCATTCACTGATCATGACCTGGATAATTGGGAATCTTCATTTGCAAACAGCACATATTGAAATTTCTAAGTTTTATTTTGACTCTGCTATAAAAGAAAGCAGGCAGCGCCTCAACACCCTGTTTCCAGAGAACTACAGAAAAAAAAAACTTTCAGACCTTGAAGATGGATGCGTCAACTTCCTGATTGTAATCCTGCTTCCCTGCATGCTTCCACGGAATTCGGAACATGGTTCGGCTTTCATCCTCCCACTGCAGCCCGGAGTACAGAGCGCTCTGGATCTGCTCCATCAGCCACTGCTTCAGCCTCCGACCTCCAGAGTTGGACATCTTGACAGGAAATATTTATATATATATTTAGCTTTATCTGTGCCTAAAACAAACAAGAGCAGAACACAGATTGGCCGATAAAAATAAAATAATAATAATAATAATAATAATAATAATAATAATAATAATAAATAAGACACTATCATGTCTGTAAAAGGAAAGTAAAACGTCTTACAGCTGTTTGGTCAGATCCGCTCCTGGTTCTGAGTTGATGAACGACCTCCTGTCAGATTAAATCAAGTGTTTTCTCCAGAACACACGCCTATAAGGTTCGAGCTCCGTGGATGAATGAACCGACAGGGGGCGGGGCCAGCTCCGGTCCAATCAGAGCCTCGCAGACGGCTCCATCCGGAAGAGTGCGTTCTGCGAACTGCGGGTATTTACAAGAAATGGCCTGACACGGGTGATGGTTGTAAAAGCGGCGAGCTGCCCACGCTCCGAGCTGCGCGGACGTGGAGACCTGATTGAACCCGTAATAAGTCACAAGTTACTGAGTGCCGTGGGGGATTTACAGTCCCTGTCGGCCCACTCAGGTCTGATGTCAAACCGCGCAGAGGCTGTTGTGCAGGGCTACAAGCAGTTAAAACACTGATCATGAAGTTT